TCTCTCAAGATTTCATGGGAGGATTTGTCATTCTTTGATTTGCTCTTTATGAAGGATTGCATGGGTAAGCTGGTCATTGGGTCACAGAGAGGAGATTATCATGTCTCAGAAATGGGCACCCACTCCACTATCATTATTCTGTTATCATGTACATAGTCTACTATACAATTCATTTATATCAGTACAAATATATGTACTTGTACACTGTACAAGTGTTGTTTTAAAATTTTTTGTAGTGTATGTTCACAGGTCTCAGTTGGGAGGTTACTTTTGGTGAGAATGTAGGAGGGGGCACTCACTGTCTCCTCTCCGCTTTCCCTGATCAATCATTAGTGGCTGATCATGTATTGGAATATGTATGAGGCTATGCTGAACTTAGGATGATAAAGATAATTGAAGAGCCACTCCAGCCCAGGTTAGGATAGGCTTACTGAGGGTATAGCCATGTTTACTGGGTCATTCTTTTTCTAGTTTCTTCCTGTCTTTTGTCCTTCTCCCTCTGCCTCCCCCTCCCCTCCCTCGGACCCCGTCCTCCTTTCTCTCCCCCCTCTCTCTCCTTTTATTCAATGAAGTCTGGTTTATATGATGTCCTCCCTACTACTATTGGAAGGTTTGTCTCCTGAGGATTTGAGGCTTTTGCTCTGTGGGTGTCAGCAGGTTGAACTTGACATACTCAAAAAGATAACAAATTTCACCAACAAGACTCGTAAGTGAAAATAATACAAATGATCTAATTAGTTATTTTTACTAAGTATTGTTTGGTATTTTAATGAATGAATGTATACACATGTACATGTATAGTACATGTACATGTACAAATGTACAGATGTGCATTTTTCAGGTTTCTATACATGCACTTGTGACCTTAAATGTAATTTAATTATTGGATTCAGGAAGGCACTTCATTTATCAGAAGTAAATGCATTTCCTGATGCATATACATGTACTTATGTTGTGTAGAAATTTTGAGCTCATTCCAATCAAAATTAGATTTATTGTTGGCATAGGGAAATATACACATTGTAGGTAGAGGTATTCAGAAGATATTGAAGGTGTGGCCACAGACCAGTGTCCTGCCCCCTCAGATTCACTACTTGATGTTAGCACCAATCCCAGTACAGATTGGACTCAATAGGTCAATGGAAATGAAAGAGAGGGACAGAATATGGACATCAGATTTAGTGAGTAGTGAACAATATCCATGTACATGTACATGTACTTTTTGATTTACATGTACAGTACAGTATGTATAGCAATGCATCTATAGATAAGGAACTCTCCCATTTGAGAGAGACTGTGTTGTACATGTACAGTATGTACATGTAATTATTGTGTATTAAATCTCATCATTAATTTTCTTGTTATTTTCAAGAGTCCAGATAATTGGATTTTTTTGTTATTATTACAGTATAACCTCGATTATCCGGACCCCTTTGTCCATCAGGTGGTTCGGATAAGTGAAAAGTTCGGATAATTTAAATGACCTTTAAAACCTTCATATACTTACTCC